TGGGGGAGTACAAGCTGGGTCAAGGGACCCTTCCTGTGTATGATGGGGGAGTACAAGCTGGGTCAAGGGACCCTTCCTGTGTGGTGATGGGGGAGTACAAGCTGGATCAAGGGACCCTTCCTGTGTGTGGTGATGGGGGAGTACAAGCTGGATCAAGGGACCCTTCCTGTGTGGTGATGGGGGAGTACAAGCTGGGTCAAGGGACCCTTCCTGTGTGTGTGGGGGGGGGGAGTACAAGCTGGGTCAAGGGACCCTTCCTCTGTGTGGTGATGGGGGAGTACAAGCTGGGTCAAGGGACCCTTTCTGTGTGTGGGGGGGGGGGAGTACAAGCTGGGTCAAGGGGCCCTTCCTGTGTGTGATGGGGGAGTACAAGCTGGGTCAAGGGACCCTTCCTGTGTATGGGGGAGTACAAGCTGGGTCAAGGGGCCCTTCCTGTGTATGGGGGGAGTACAAGCTGGGTCAAGGGACCCTTCCTGTGTGGTGATGGGGGAGTACAAGCTGGGTCAAGGGGCCCTTCCTGTGTGTGTGGTGATGGGGGAGTACAAGCTGGGTCAAGGGGCCCTTCCTGTGTGTGTGGGGGGGGGAGTACAGGCTGGGTCAAGGGGCCCTTCCTGTGTGTGTGGTGATGGGGGAGTACAAGCTGGGTCAAGGGACCCTTCCTGTGTGTGGGGGGGGGAGTACAAGCTGGGTCAAGGGACCCTTCCTGTGTGTGTGTGGGGGGGAGTACAAGCTGGGTCAAGGGACCCTTCCTGTGTGGTGATGGGGGAGTACAAGCTGGGTCAAGGGACCCTTCCTGTGTGTGGTGATGGGGGAGTACAGGCTGGGTCAAGGGGCCCTTCCTGTGTGTGTGGTGATGGGGGAGTACAAGCTGGGTCAAGGGACCCTTTCTGTGTGGGGGGGGGGGGGGGAGTACAAGCTGGGTCAAGGGGCCCTTCCTGTGTGTGGTGATGGGGGAGTACAAGCTGGGTCAAGGGACCCTTCCTGTGTGGTGATGGGGGAGTACAAGCTGGGTCAAGGGGCCCTTCCTGTGTGTGTGGGGGGGGGAGTACAAGCTGGGTCAAGGGACCCTTCCTGTGTGGTGATGGGGGAGTACAAGCTGGATCAAGGGGCCCTTCCTGTGTGGTGATGGGGGAGTACAAGCTGGGTCAAGGGACCCTTCCTGTGTGGTGATGGGGGAGTACAAGCTGGATCAAGGGGCCCTTCCTGTGTGGTGATGGGGGAGTACAAGCTGGGTCAAGGGACCCTTCCTGTGTGGTGATGGGGGAGTACAAGCTGGGTCAAGGGGCCCTTCCTGTGTGTGTGGTGATGGGGGAGTACAAGCTGGGTCAAGGGGCCCTTCCTGTGTGTGTGGGGGGGGGAGTACAAGCTGGGTCAAGGGACCCTTCCTGTGTGGTGATGGGGGAGTACAAGCTGGATCAAGGGACCCTTCCTGTGTGTGTGTGGTGGGGGAGTACAAGCTGGGTCAAGGGACCCTTCCTGTGTGTGATGGGGGAGTACAAGCTGGGTCAAGGGACCCAGTCTGACCGCTGGTCTCTGATGAGACTTGTCTAACCCTTCCTATATGTTGTTGGTTGGATCAATGCTGTCATGAGTCCAGTAATCTGCCTGTTGCAGGCTGCGGGGACAGGTATTGACAGATCAGTTTCTGGAGATCACTTTGAGTTTTCTTTGAAGTTCAGGTTTTAGGCTTCCTGTTGGTGTGAGTGGTGGAAAAACTCTCCTCTGTGCAGGTATTTCATCAAATCGATGGCCAGCTAATGATTGCCACCATTATGGAGCCCCAGAGCTAACCTACGTTCTGATTGTAGTTTGTATTTTCAAAGTTCACACATGACCATTACGCATGGATGGCTCAGGGTTAGATTCACCAAAGGGAGATGACTCATATGGTCACATTGGGTGCACCATAAGCAAATCTGTTCGTTTGTTGTTTAACGCCGCACTCAGCAATATTCCAGTTAATGATGGCGGTCTGTAAATGATCGAGTCTGGACCAAACATTCCAGTGATTGACACCATGAGCATCGTTCATGCAATTGGGATACAATCCCATACATCAACCAAGTCAGCAAGCCTGACCAACCGATCCCATTAGTCACCTCTTATGACAAGCAAAGTCGCCTTACATGTCCCATAAGCAAGAATGGGTTTTAGTGACCTTTAGTAACTTCCAAAATAACTGACTACAAATTATCCTGAAGAGTTGTGGTTGAGAGTAGAGGAAATGAGAAGGTGGCTTGTCAGTGTGCAGAAAATCTGTTCTTCCAGTATAATACCTCCAGGGAAATCAGTAAAGAAGAGTACTTGACTGTTTATAGAAATATGTAAATAACAAATTGACAGAACGAAACATTTACCTTAATACGGGTTTTTTCCCCTCTTCTTGTGTGTGAATAAATATTGTTTTACACCACAGAAATGTAGGGTGACTATTGGTCTGGAAACCTTTATTGTGATAACTATTGATATTGACAGAAACTATTGTGATAACTATTGATATTGACAGAAACTATTGTGATAACTATTGATATTGACAGAAACTATTGTGATAACTATTGATATTGACAGAAACTATTGTGATAACTATTGATATTGACAGAAACTATTGTGATAACTATTGATATTGACAGAAACTATTGTGATAACTATTGATATTGACAGAAACTATTGTGATAACTATTGATATTGACAGAAACTATTGTGATAACTATTGATATTGACAGAAACTATTGTGATAACTATTGATATTGACAGAAACTATTGTGATAACTATTGATATTGACAGAAACTATTGTGATAACTATTGATATTGACAGAAACTATTGTGATAACTATTGATATTGACAGAAACTATTGTGATAACTATTGATATTGCAAGCAACTATTGTGATAACTATTGATATTGACAGAAACTATTGCGATAACTATTGATATTGACAGAAACTATTGCGATAACTATTGATATTGACAGAAACTATTGTGATAACTATTGATATTGACAGAAACTATTGCGATAACTATTGATATTGACAGAAACTATTGCGATAACTATTGATATTGACAGAAACTATTGTGATAACTATGGATATTGACAGAAACTATCGTGATAACTATTGATATTGACAGAAACTATTGTGATAACTATTGATATTGACAGAAACTATTGTGATAACTATTGATATTGACAGAAACTATTGTGATGACTATTGATATTGACAGAAACTATTGTGATGACTATTGATATTGACAGAAACTATTGTGATAACTATTGATATTGACAGAAACTTTTGTGATAACTATTGATATTGACAGAAACTATTGTGATAACTATTGATATTGACAGAAACTATTGCGATAACTATTGATATTGACAGAAACTATTGTGATAACTATTGATATTGACAGAAACTATTGTGATAACTATTGATATTGACAGAAACTATCGTGATAACTATTGATATTGACAGAAACTATTGTGATAACTATTGATATTGACAGAAACTATTGTGATAACTATTGATATTGACAGAAACTATTGTGATAACTATTGATATTGACAGAAACTATTGTGATAACTATTGATATTGACAGAAACTATTGTGATAACTATTGATATTGCAAGCAACTATTGTGATAACTATTGATATTGACAGAAACTATTGTGATAACTATTGATATTGACAGAAACTATTGTGATAACTATTGATATTGACAGAAACTATTGCAATAACTATTGATATTGACAGAAACTATTGTGATAACTATTGATATTGACAGAAACTATTGTGATAACTATTGATATTGACAGAAACTATTGTGATAACTATTGATATTGACAGAAACTATTGCGATAACTATTGATATTGACAGAAACTATTGTGATAACTATTGATATTGACAGAAACTATTGTGATAACTATTGATATTGACAGAAACTATTGTGATAACTATTGATATTGACAGAAACTATTGTGATAACTATTGATATTGACAGAAACTATTGCGATAACTATTGATATTGACAGAAACTATTGCGATAACTATTGATATTGACAGAAACTATTGTGATAACTATTGATATTGACAGAAACTATTGTGATAACTATTGATATTGACAGAAACTATTGTGATAACTATTGATATTGCAAGCAACTATTGTGATAACTCTTGATATTGACAGAAACTATTGCAATAACTATTGATATTGACAGAAACTATTGCGATAACTATTGATATTGACAGAAACTATTGTGATAACTATTGATATTGACAGAAACTATTGCGATAACTATTGATATTGACAGAAACTATTGCGATAACTATTGATATTGACAGAAACTATTGCGATAACTATTGATATTGACAGAAACTATTGTGATAACTATTGATATTGACAGAAACTATTGTGATAACTATTGATATTGACAGAAACTATTGTGATAACTATTGATATTGCAAGCAACTATTGCGATAAATATAGATAGTTTTCAGTGTATCATTTTAGATGGATTTTAGTGTTGAATTAAACCTTGGAACTAAAGTTTCCTTTGAATGTGTTAACCATAACAACAAATTAAAAGTAAAGTGTGAGATATGACTGATTTGTTTTTTCTTTACCCTAATAATTTAAGAAAAAGAAAATGTCTACCACTCATGATCAAAAGAAAAACAAATTTGAACAGCTTTGCATGTATTTTATTGATATGGTAAATACAATCTAAACTATCGATATTCCTAACTGAAATCGATACTATTGATTGGTAACTGATTTAACAATCGATTTATTGACTTAAAGGGCGTACCAATAGCAATATATCGATATTTCGATTTATCGTGACATCCCTACAGAAATGCCACTCATGCTACATACAGCAGTTGCAAGCTTGTGGTGCAGGTCACCCAGACCATTCTCAGCTCCTTGGGAAGTGTAGAACTGAAGAAACAAAAGTGAACTTTTTATTGCCGTGACAGCTGTGTAATTTGATGCTTTTTGTTTGCAGAAGATGAACTCTCCAGTAGAAGAAGACCTGCCACCACCTCCACCCCCCCTGGAAATGTCGAACACCCGAGCTACGTCCGAGTCTGTCCCCGCCCCCGCAGAGAAACCTGCCCCCATCCACAGCAAAGCCACCACACACACCACCGTCACATACGATGACCGCGACCTCCCGCCACCGGTAAGACAGGGCTGTTTCTTGTGGCCAGCCTTTTTGCCTTTTGCTTCAGATTTAAACATTATGTTTTTTTCAGAGTGGAGTCAGGGGTTTGCACACTATGCTCAAGTCTCCAAGCAGGGGTAGATTAACTGATGGCTTGTTGGCCAGTGGCTAGTTAAAATTACAATGGGCTTGCTGAAACGTAAAGTAGAAGGCCTATCTTCTCTGTGTATATATATTTTTTGCTGCGTCTTCCATTTAGTTGTAAGCCAATTAGTTTGGAGAACTTGTAAAAGGAGCAAGTCCTGCAGGCAACATAGAAATTTGTTGATAAATCTACCCCTGCTAGTGAACACATCATTTGATATGTCGGTGTCTGAAACGAGGGCGATATGTGTACCTCCTCACATTTTGCAGCCTTTGAAATTCGGTATTTGTATTTGGAGTTTGTAGCTAGTCATGCTTGAATGAGACAAAAATAATGATATTGACATGTAATGCTTTCAGTTGTGTCATTCATACATGGGAGGCAAGGGTGGGTCAGTCGTGGGTCATTTCGCTTTGCAGAGTTGCGTCCCTTGGGCACGCCAGAAACATATGATTATGGGTTTGAATCCCGGTTCGCCCGATTATGTTTCTAGGTTTGTCAGCACCATACCCGTGCTTATGGGTTTCACCGAAGTGGTAAACTTCTGAGATCTGCATCACTTAGGGCTTTCCTCCCACATTAAGCTTACACGCCGCGATATAACTGGAATATTGTTTAAGGCGGCGTTTAACCCAACTCACTCCCTCAATTCATTCATGGATGATGCACATTGACTATGGGACACAACACTTACCTCAGAACATTGCAACATTTGCACATTAATTTAAAAGACGTCTCTAGGTTTTGCCCAAACAAAGATTTTCAGATTGGACCAGGTTCTTGATCAGAGTGAATGATATGACACAGAATTTCAACTTAATCACTCAGTGAATGACATAATCATATTGAATATTTGAACACATAAGCTTCTCAAGAAGATCTTAACCAAAAGGTGACTTTAAGATTAAACCAGGTTCTGAGAGTGATTTCTAACTTATAACCTTCTAAAGAATGACATATTGAATGATATTCAGACACGGTGAAGCTGCAAGTGATGACACCCATCTTGGCCAACAGTGGGTGTGTTAATGACAATGTGGCCCTGGTTTCTGTTGAATATTAGCTATAACCTCCTCATGCTCCGTACACTCCGTGCTGTTAAGTGTCAGGGCTTTAAAGGTGTGTTGTTTGCATGGGGAAGGTTTGGAGAAGGCTACAGGTAAGTTGAGAGACATAAGTCCCAAAGGAGATTTGTCACCAGGACTTCACCATTTAGTGATGAAGACCACTCTGTCCACGAATAAACCAAAGATGCCAGTTGACCTGTCTGGTTAAATACCTAGTTATCATGAAACATTGAGTACATGATTTTATAAATTATTTATGGGACATTTTCATGATTTTAGTGAATTTTTGAAGGACATTTTCATGATTTTAGTAAATTTTGACAGGACATTTTCATGATTTTAGTTTTTTTTAAAAGGACATTTTCATGAATTTAGGAAGTTTTTACGGGACATTTTCATGATTTTAGTGAATTTTTGAAGGACTTTTGCATGAATTTAGTAAATACTTTTTGTTCCATGTAATAACCAAAAACTGAAAATATGTGTTGGACATTTTGGATGACAATCAATAACTGCCTTGCATGCCGTGGTTATTGAGGTGGTCTGTTGTGACTCACCGTACAGACAATCACACAGGGAAGTCACAACTTGATGCTGGCAACATTTTATCGAACATTTTCAGCTTTGTTGGTACAATGATGCCAGAAGATTATTGGTATTTGCATATTTGGCTCGAACAGATAAAGGTATTTTCACTGAAATGCCATTAGGACAACATATTGACTCTGTCCTGTTTGTTTAAACACCCCTGGATGATGGTTGTAATTAATGTTCCTTGTTTACTTATACCTACCACGATGACTTGTTAATATTGATATTTGTTAACAACAGCATGCAGATTCTGGATTATCGGCCGAAACAGTTTCCATTGGGCATAAAAGGCAAAATAGCAGATAAAGTTATATGAATAGATCACTGAGAATCAGTGACACCAAGAGTTCGCGAAAAGGGTAAGCACGCCCTGCCCTACTGGTTGTGCCCGCCACTTGCACAATAAGACTGGGTACACCAAATCCAGAAAAAAACACATTTTCTTATCACTGAAACTGTGCAGAGTTGCATCCCTTGGGCACGCTAGAAATCTCTGATCATGGGTTCGAATCACTGTTCGCCCCGATTATGTTTCTAGGTTTGTCAGCACCATACCCGTGCTCATGGGTTTCACCGAAATGGTAAACGTCTGAGACCTGCATCACTTGGGGTTTTCCGTCGATACTCAGCTTACACGCCGTGATATAACTAACTGGTCACTTATGACTTAATCTTAAGGTGTATATAAACGCAAATCGGCCAAATTTACTGATACCATCTTGTCCCATGGACATGCAGACTATAAGGTATTGGTGGTTGGGACATTACTCATTAGACTAGTGAAAGTTAACAATACTAATTAATTTGTGCTCTGACATTTTAATTTTCTTTTTTTATTGCCGTCTTTCTGATATATCTTGCACCATTTATCTGAAGACTTCTCAGAGCCCCATCTGTCAAGGCATTTGTCGGGGACGATGTAACTACAAGATCTGCGCTCTCAAACTGACAATACACTAGATATTGATAGATATCGGGCAGGGAGATCTCCCATAAATTCCAATCCCTAGCAAAGACTGTAATCCAGTGTCTGCGACTCTCATCCCTGCTGTTGCTGTAGACTTCATGCCATTGTCAGAGTCTTCTCTACAGGACATGGCCTGAAGACCGACTCTCAATCAATGTTGTAAATAATAGATGACCCTGCCACCTTGGCTGGTGTACAGGAATTAAGAGAGATCTGGACTGGGTTTTCCGATTCCGGGGCTGGTGATGCCTCAGCCACCCCAGGGACTGATTACTTCCCCAACATCAGCATCCAGATCCAGCAGTCAGATGACAACGCCTTACAGTTCCCGGGAAGCCGCGCCGGCATCAGATCTGGTTTAAAGCCATAGATCTTAGGATAGGAGAGTGTAGATGCAGTGAATAGATGTTTGCTGATGAGACATATAGCACCATTCACTCATTCAATATAAGAGAGAAAGCCTAGATCTGATGATAGGTGTAAAATAGAATGAAATGTGGGTGTGAATCACTCTCACTCACTCACTATAAGGGTATACAGATTAAGGTTATAGATCTGAGGCAATGAGCAGCTGAAATGTTCATGATGAGCCCCACTCACTCACTCACTCACTCACTCACTCACGATAAGGGTATACAGATTGAGGTTATAGATCTGAGGCAATGAACAGCTGAAATATTCATGATGAGCCCCACTCACTCACTCACTCACTCACTCACTCACTCACTCACTCACTCACTCACTATAAGGGTATACAGATTGAGGTTATAGATCTGAGGCAATGAGCAGCTGAAATATTCATGAGCCCCACTCACTCACTCACTCACTATAAGGGTATACAGATTGAGGTTATAGATCTGAGGCAATGAGCAGCTGAAATGTTCATGATGAGCCCCACTCACTCACTCACTCACTCACGATAAGGGTATACAGATTGAGGTTATAGATCTGAGGCAATGAACAGCTGAAATATTCATGATGAGCCATACTCACTCACTCACTCACTCACTCACTCACTATAAGGGTATACAGATTGAGGTTATAGATCTGAGGCAATGAGCAGCTGAAATATTCATGAGCCCCACTCACTCACTCACTATAAGGGTATACAGATTGAGGTTATAGATCTGAGGCAATGAGCAGCTGAAATATTCATGATGAGCCCCACTCACTCATTCACTCACTCACTATAAGGGTATACAGATTGAGGTTATAGATCTGAGGCAATGAGCAGCTGAAATGTTCATGATGAGCCCCACTCACTCACTCACTCACTCACTCACTCACTCACTCACTCACTCACTCACTCACTCACTCACTCACTCACTCACTCATCCACCCACCCACTTACTCTAAGAGAATCTGAGTTTGTAGGGTTTTAAGCCATGATGAATTTGTTGGTGTGGGTGTGTTTTGCGGTTGGGTAGCCTAGTGGTTAAAGCGTTTGCTTGAAGACCTGGGTTCGATTCCCCACATGGCTACAATGTGTGAAGCCCATTTCTGGTGTCTCCTGCCATGATATTGCTGGAATCAGAGTAAAACCATACTCACTCACTCATTAACTCTGTACATGTGTCTGTCTATGTCGGTGTGTATGTGTCTGTCTGTGTGGCTGTGTCTATGAGTGTGGATGCTTGTTCTTGTTGGACTTATTCCTATGATTGTGGGTTCAAATCACGGTTCACGTGAGTTTCACCGAAGTGGTAAATGTCAGACCTGCATCACTTCAGGCTTTCCTCCCCCTATAAGCTGACACACCGCGAGTTAACTGGAATAATGTTAAAAGCGGCGTTAAACCCAACTAACTCACTCATTCAGTATTACAGGCCTACGGTCTAAAGTACATGTGAACATATTATAAGGTTCAGGTACAAATTTAAAATAAAAATTCTATTTGGTTTTATGTTTTAGCTGAATATTCATGTCGGCCTACCACATACAATGTTTTTTGCTATAATGTTATGAAGAAAAGTATTAAGTGGGACGTGTCCACATCGTGTCTCGATTTCCTCCCAGTGTTCTGATGTGACTGATATGGTGTTAGAAGCAGTGCTGGCACTATCAGACACTGTTGTTAAGCATCCATTGTGTTGCAACAAATGGAAGGTGACAAAGGCAACCCAAGAGCATGCAATATGATAATACCTCAGGTGATGCCATTCCTGATAATAAATATCTTGTTTCCAGCTCATTAAGCCAACTCATGTGCCACCATTCACTCGTTGGTATGGCAACAGAAATCTGATCA